AGGGACGAAAGAGGGACGAAAGAGGGACGAAAGAGGGACGAAAGAGGGACGAAAGAGGGACATGTTTCTGATTCTTTAATCAGTTAAACCAATCTCATCATCAACTCAGATATGTATCAGTGGCAGGAGCAGGACAGAGGCATTTTCACGTAAAGCTGACTGTTAGTTTAGCATAATTGAAAAATATGAATTGTGTAATGAGAGAAGATAGCTCCCACATACTTGTTCCCAGCTCCAAACACACTTGAAGATTTTAAGCTCTACAACAGACTTAGAGAGAAATAGGCATATGAGTGAGGCACCTGAACCTTCACCATCTCCTCTCAGATTCTGTACACTGTTAATTCTTCATTTTCACCAGTACAGCCAGCCCTGTTTTCAAAGAAGGACTGTACTAGTACAAAGGGCTGCTCATACTGACATGGCTGTGCCCATAGCAGGAAGGTTTCTGCCAGGAGTTTTATACTAATAAAGCACTCCAAAAGTAGACAAAAATATTTCAGCTGTACTTCTCTAGCTCACTAAATATCAGGAAAACAATCAGAGGGATTTTTGAACTTGCCTTTGTAAGGCCTCACATATCTTAATCATATTGCAAAGATCTTTTTAAAATTACTTTTAAGATTCTCAACACCATCCATCCTTTATTAACAAAAAAAAAAAAAAAAAAAAAAAAAAAGGCAAATGCAGTTATAATTCCATTCATAATTGACTCCTTGACCTTTCCATGATTCAGAGAACTGACCCAGAGGTCACAAAAGCTTCTGAAACCAGATCTAAGAGTGTTTATCTCTTTGTCTGGAAAGGCCACAATGGTACATACCTTAGTATGTGTCCAGAAAAGTAAAGTGTTTATTAAGATGTAAAAACATGTATCTGCCTATATTCAATCATGGACAAGAGAACAGCACTAATAATTATACAGCTACAATATCTGTCAGAAGTTATGAGAGAATGGATTTTGCCTCTAAGTTTATCTTTTGCCTATATGCTCTATAATAATGACTGGTCATTAGGTTTCCCAAGATTTTTTTGTTGTTGTTTTCCCTTTAAGTGGGGGACAAAACAAGCTTCCTTTACAGCTACTCACAGCTCAATCTGGGGCTACCCATCTCATTTGCAATTTTGTACCCAATTTTTTGAGCTATTAAGAAGCAGAACAGCCTTTATGACATCTTATGTAGAAAACAAGGTAGACAGTCAGTCATAAACTGTATCACAAAATGTATCTTCCAGCATTCACAAATTCAGTCACTACCTTCTTCTTCTCAAGCAGTAGATGTGTTCTTTCCTAAACAATCCTCTTGGTTCACCATCTTTGCTTCTGCTTGCTTCCTCCAGCTACAACCTCCCTTCTCAAACAATCCCAGGCTCAGACTTTCCAGTAGCCTCTTAGCAGTCTCAAAACCTCCTCCTCTAAGCTCTGATTTCTCAGTTTTTCTCCACCCTGAGAGACCCAGCTCTTCTCCTAACCGCATGTACTCATCAAATTTTCTTTCCCTCTCTGCTGGCAACTCCTCAGTACCTCCCCAGACACTCAGCCTAGTTCCAGATCCTTCTCATAGCTTCCTGCATCTGAAAACATCTCCATTCCTTAGTTCAACCGGTTACAGACCTTTTATCTTCTCTAACTTAATAGTCTTTCCTAGTGTCATTTTACAGAAAGAAGGCTTGACTACTTTAAAAAAAAAAAAAAAGTTTCCCAGAAAAAAAGAAAAAAAAAAAAATCAACCTTCATTTTTAGAGACAAAAAATGTAATGCATATTACTGAAAAGTTTGAAAAAAAAAAGCCCTCAACAAAGTTTAAGGGTATGTGCAGACAACAGTAACTGAAAGAACTAAAGAGGTTTAAGATACAATCCTCTTTTTGTTTGGAGACAGAATGTAGTAACTAATTCTTTGAATGTGCATAGCTTAATATAATAAAATTCATATAGTACGTTCAAGTTAAACTACCTTTATTGATGACTTAAGCAAACACGGTTTCTCTATGACACATACATTCTCAGTTCAATCATATCTCCAAGCTAATAGAGACATAGCTCCAAGCTCGGAAAGATATTTAAGTCCTGAGATATGCTAACATGATCCTTTGTTATAAACTCACAATGAAAAGTGTTATATTTGGTGCAATGTTTGGTGTTAACAACTCAGTAACACTTCCTCTGATGAAGGGTCAGATAAATAATACACATTATAGATATAGGAGTAAGATTTGGGTGCTTCTGCAAGAACAAGACTATGGAGGAAAATGTAATTCTTGTTAAAAGCTCCAATAACCTAGTTTGATCTAATCAACAAAAGAAATAGACAATGTTGAACTACGGCATGAAATTTAAGCTCATAAACATGGCAGATTTATATCTACAAACAAACTAAAATAGACAGACTTCTATATGTCTGTATATTTTACAGAAGACAGATTAAAATACAGAAATTATGTATTACATTATTAATCTGTTAGACATGGGAACATACAGAACTCCAGCACATGTCAACTCGAACAAAAGACTTTATAGGAGCCTCTTTTTGCTCAGAAATTGCATCCAACCTAGAAGCGTGGGAGAGAATCCATGTTATTTTGAAGCTCCATAGTTCAGTGCTCTTCTCAGATGGTAACTTCATAGGCCACAATCAACTATTCTGAATAATGCAATTTTGGAAATTGGCCCCTGATCCGAAGGAATTGCCTCTTAAATTAAATAAAGGAGATATGAGAGATTAAACCTATTAATATCAATAAAATACAACAAGATACATACAAAGCATTTTTAACTCAAAGTTCACTCCTGTACAAAGTAAAAAAAAAAAAAAAAAAAGAGAGAGAGAGACAAAAACAAGCATTTGTAAGAAGAAATCAGGCAAGCTATGACTGAAATTACGCTGCTTTATAAAGTGACAGTAACTACTCTAAAGAACATTTCTTTCTGCATGTGGCTATCAGTTTTTCCTTACCATATATTCCATATTGGAAGCTGGTGGATACACCTGACCCCGTAACTTATTATGAAGATCCAAGATACTTTGCATATCACTGTCTGTGATAGCCCTTTTCCCTCTCTGCTTGGCGATCCACCACTCACCATCTTCATCCATGTATTTTTCCAAAAGTTCCTCTAAGAGCGTGGCATTGGGAAGAACCATTGCAGAAACTGCTTGAGCTATGAATAGCAAGGTAGTTACTCCGAGCCATTCCTGCACTACATACTTCATGATGAATGATCTCAGAATGCTCAGGAGTTAGCTCCAAGACAAAGTCTTTTTTCCAGGTCTGTTGGCTGCAAACGCATAAGAGAGAGTAATGTAATTTGGAGGTTGAAGCACTGGTCTGTATGAATTCATTAAGCAAAAAAAGTCAAACTATAGTGTATACAGAGTTGGCCACTGTCGATTAAGAGGGAGAAGCAAGAATGCTGCGTGTTATATACACTAATAAATACAAGCTGCTGTTTGGAAAGATCGCTTATCTTCAACTTTGTGAACTTCAGTTGTCCAAGTGCTTTTGTATACACTCTGGCATGCACATTTTAGTGTCTGCATGCAAGAAAGCATGCTTTCTGCAGCTACTTAACAGAAGCCAGACATAGAGGAAGATTAGCTGTAGATAATTTTCCTAGTATTGGAATTTATAAACAAAACAAAACAAAAAAATCCATTTCAAAATGTTAAATGAGAAACACAGTGGAGTAGATACAAAATATCCCTTCTTGATGCATTTCAAAACAAGACTCCGATGAAAGCTTTTATTTTATGATTTCCAAATACCTAATAGAACTAAAGTTACTCAGCTCTGGCAAGAGAATGGGGGGAGATGGGGGTCATCCCATTCATCGAAAAAAACAACAACAACAAAAAAACAAACAGAAAAAAACCACGGACAACGCTTGAAAAAGTACCACTGCATCAAGAACGCAACGTGCCAACGCCGCCTGTTACTTGACTGAGCTATGCTCAGGAGGAGGAAAACTACGGTGCCTCCCTCCCCCAGGGGAAAAAAGCATGAATCCCGCCACCGCCCGAGCCGGACCCGCCGCTGGGAGCACAACAAAAAGAGTCGGAGGAGCAGCGCGGGGCTCTCCCAACGCCGAGCGGCCGCCACGGAGCCGCGTCCCGGCCCTGCCCTGCGGCCCGCGGGGAGCGGCCCCCTCCCGAACGGTGCCTCCGCCCCCGGGCTGGACGCTGCCCTTACCCTCCGGCGGCGGCTGCCTCCTCTCTCCGCAGCCAGCTTCGCTCCGCCGCCTCGCCAGGCCCGCGCCGGGCTCGGGGGGCTGGGAAGGAGGGCCCGGGCACGGCCTCGCCCCAGCGGTGGTTGCCGGGTTGCGAACGAGTTGTGCCGGCGAGGGGTGGATGTCGCCGAGCGCGCCGCCGCCCCTGGGAGCTCCACGCTTCTTCCTCCCGACTCCCGCCTCGCCGGGCATTTATCGCGGGTGGCGGTGACGTGAGGCGGCCACCCCTCCCAGCACCCCGGGGGCGGGCCGCGATCCGCGCTCCGGGTTCCGGGCTCCGCGGCCGCCCCCCGCTCACCGCACCGCCCGTCCTCACCTGGACGGCCGCGAGCTCTGCCGCCCGTCAGAAGCTGGCTTTGCTCCTACCAAAGTAGTGGCCCAGAAAAGGTTGAGAGAGGGCCCTACTCCCCCGCCACCTCCACCCGTGGGCAGCTCAGAGGATGCTGAGCGGTCAGTTGGCTTCAGCAAAGCCAAAAAGCTGGGTGTTCAGCTCCCAAAAGCCCAGACCGTGTGAATACAGCAAGAGGTATCAGGGCAGGAATTTTGAACTATGGATTCAGAGCAGCTGCTTGAAGCTTGGCTTCACAAAGTAGAATGCTATTTGCTATACGTACTATGTAGCACAAAGCTACAGGAGAGAAGCTTGTAACAAGTATATTTTCCAGCGAAACTAGGTATCAGAGGTGAACTTTTGAATTATAGTTACATCAAAGTCCTGTAGCTTGGTTATTATTTTTTATCCAAACCACTAGAGACAATGTTTCACTTATTTAGTATGATTTGGTGCCCTGAGTTAACAGTGGGATTGACCAGCTTCCAGTCTTCACAGTACTGCTATACCAGCTTGCAAAGGTTTTCTGTATTTTCGTTTTCAGCTATTGGGAGGCTGAGGTTAAAATTCATCAGAATCCAGCTGGCTTCAGACTGGCTCCATAAATGCTTCCAAATTTCTTGGGCCCAAGAGAAACAATAATGTGCAAGGAACACACTGCTTCTTACTGTACCCTCTCTTTCTCACTTTTAGTTAGAATTTCCTTAAAAACTTTGAATGTAACCTGTTTAACAAGCTTCTATGAGTACTCTGCTACTTATGTACCACAATATATAAAAACATTATGATCTATATTGGTTGCTCTCTATGATATTTTTTTTTCAGAGCTGAGATATGGATCAGAACTTCATAGAGTTTGCACATCAGATCTGGATTTTTTGTAGTAGTCATGTCTTATTCATCTAATTTGATGTAGTTACAAAAATGTCCAAAGACCAATACTTGGTTTGGAAGAGACTTTAAAGATCATCTAATCTAAAAAAGCATGGCCAGCAGGTCAAGGAAAGTGATCCTGCCCCTCTGCTCTGTGCTGTGAGGCCTTACCTGGAGTACTGTGCCCAGATGTGGACTCCTTAGTACAGAAGAGATATGGAATTGTTGGAGCTCATCCAGAGGAGGGCTACAGAAATTACCAAAGGGGTAGAATACCTATCCTATGAGAACAAGCTGAAAGAGCTGGGCCATTGAGCTTAGAGAAGAAAAGGCTCTGAGATGACCTTACAGTGGCCTTTCAATACCTAAAGGGAAGCTACAGGAAAGAGGGGGACAGACTCTTTAGCAGGGCCTGGGGTGATAGAACAAGGGGAAATGGCTTCAAGCTCAAAGAGGGTAGATTTATGTTGGATATAAGGAAAAAGTGTTTTACAGTTAGGATAGTGAGCCACTGGAACAGGTTGCCTACAGATGTGATCGATGCCCCATCCATGGAGACTTTCAAGGAGAGTCTGGATCAAGCCCTGGGTAACCTGATTTGTCTGTGCTTGTCCCTTTTCATTGCAGAGGAGTTAGACTACATGACCTTTACAGGTCCATTTCAACTCTAAGAATTCAATGATTCTATGATCAAGTTCCAAACTTCCTGCTGTGGACAGGGTTGCTAATCACTAGATACGGCTGCCCAGAGCCCCATCCAACCTGGCCTTACACACCTCCAGGGATGGGGCTTCCACAATTTCTCTGGACAACCTGTTCCAGTGCCTCATCATCTACTGAGTAAAGGATTTCTTCCTAACATCTACACCTCCCCTCCTTTATTTTAAAACTTCACCCCTGTCCTATTACTGTCAGATTAAGTAAAAAGCTGGTCTCCATTTTGTACATAAGCTCCTATTGAATACTAGATAGCCACAATTCACTTCTCCCGGCTGATCAAGCCCAGGTACCTCAGCCTTCCATCACAGGAGAAGTATTTGAGTCCTCTGATCATCTTTTGACTGTCCTCTGGACCTGCAGGTCCATGGCAAGCTTTTCATCCACTGTAATTCCCAAATCCTTCCTGGCAGGGTTGCTCTCAATGAGTTCTTCTCCCAGTCTATACATATTTCCAGGATTGTCCTGACCCAAGTGCAACACCTTGCACTTAGACCCATTGAATCTCATTAGGTTCACATAATCTCATTTTTCCACCTTGTCAAGATCCCTTTGGATGGATCTCTTCCTTTTGTTGTTTCAACAATATCACGCAGCTTATTGTCATCAGTGAACTTCCTGATGATACACTCAATCCTGCTCTCTAGGCTGTTGATAAAGATTTTGAAGAACATTAGTCCCAAGACAGAACCCTGAGGGACACCACTCATCATCAGCCTCCACTTGGACATAGAGCCATAACTCCATCCATCCAATTCCTTATCCATCAAACAGTCCACCCTTCAAATTCATATGTTTCCAATTTAGAGATAAGAATGTGGTGTGGGACCATATAAAAGGCCTTTCAGAAGTCCAGGTAAACATGATTCATTTGTCTACTGATGCTGTCACTCCCTTGTAGAAAGCCACTTGATTGGTCAGGCATGATCTTCCCTTGGTAAAGTTGTGCTGGCTTTGTTTAATCACCTACATCCTTTGCATGTGCCTTAACATGTTTTCCAGGAAGATCTGTTCCATGATCTTCCCAGGCACAGACATGAGGTTCAGTGGCCTGTAGCTCCCCAGGTCTTCTTTTCTACCTTTCTTAAAAATAAGAGTGATGTTTCCCTTTCTTCCAGTCTCCAAGGACTTCACTTGACAGACACAGCTTGGCAACTTCATCAGCCCTTTACTTCAAGAGCTTGGGATGCAGGTCAATAGTCCCTTTAGACTTGTACACATCCAGCCTTAACAGGTGGTCTCAGGCTTGCTCTTTGCTTATAGTAGGAGGGATTTGCTCCCTCACCTTCCACCTAGATGTTCAGGTACTTGAAAGACATGGGACTGACTTCCAGTGAAGACTGAGGCAAAAAACTTGAGTACCTCAGTCTTTTCTATGTCTGTTTCCAGTTCTCCCTTCTTATTTATCAGAGGGAGTACACACTGCTTGATCTTTCTTTTAACCAATGTACCCATAGAATCCCTTCTTGCTATTTTTCATATCCCTTGCTATGTTCAGTTCCATATGTGCCTTGCATTTCTTTATCTCACCTCTATGTCATTCATACCAAGACATTTACTCTTTATACAGGTACAAGTGGTGTATCATTAGAAAGCAGCAGAAGTTAAGAGTTATAGCTGATTATGAATATTATCATAGCCAAGAAACTGAAAAAAAATAAAAATAAAAATCTATGGGAATGATGATATTTATGGAGTTCCCTTTAGTCATTGGGAAGTTTAGTAGCTGTCCTTGATGTACATCATCAGCACTGGACTGATGTACATCATCAGCACTGGACAATTGCTGAACTTTATATGTATAACATGTATCAAACATCTTTCAGTCTCTGTGTTCATCACACTGTATAGAAAGCACTTGTTCATATTTGGTCTTTGTCAGATTGAGGACCTTATCATATTATTATAATGCAGGTTTTTAAATGAATTAAATACTAATACAAAAAGAGAAATGTTCTCATTGAAATTGATTTATTTTTTTTTTCAGCTAATTTATCAGTAAGTGAATAAACCCTTTACACTTTGTGACTGTGCCCTTTGTATTTGATTTATGGCTGTATGATTTGTGACCACATAAAAGTGTTGTGACTTTGAAAAATGGGATTTGGGCCTATCCACTAATTTTGTTCATATATAAATGCAATTGCCTGAATCTCTTGTCTTGATCAGTTTATGGGAGATCATTTTTTCCGTTTGCCTTATTCTGGATTGGTTTAAACCTCCAACACTGTAGATATAACTATCATCTATAATTTAAAATTGTTATAATAATCAGTTATGCACCATTATATCTCCTGAAACTAAAACTAATCATCTTTCCTTCCCAAAGGCACATGCAAACAAGAATATATGCAGACTGTGTGAGTAACTATTTTTTAAATAGCTGCAGAAGAAATTAAAAAAAAAATAAAATCATAAGAGTGCCCCAGCTACACGCTGGACAAGCAATAAGAATAGGCACTGAAGAAACCTTGGAAGGGAATATTTTTAGCACAAACTTTGTCTAAAATCCTTTCAGTTTTGAAGGGACGAATATTTTCTGCTCTTTGAGCCTTTCTGGATTTGAGGAGACAGAATTCCAGCAGTCTTTGTAAGTAAACAAAGGACTGGATGAGAGATATTTTACTTCATCATCAATGTTTTTCTAACAGAAAATATATACACGGTCCTTAAGTGTGGATAATTTGATTAAGAAAAAGTGGCATCACCAAGTAAGAAAGAAAGCGAGAAAGGCTCTACTACATATAATGCACACTTACAAATCTTCTAAATTATAAAAGCTGGGCTTTTACTTAAAAACAAAAGGAAGACTCAAAACCCAGACCATCTTTCTTTTGATTTTAAACATCTTTGGCTAATATACCTTCTGATTCTCTATTTGATGCTGTGGTGTCACATGAACAAAAAATGTTGCTATTTCAAATCAAGCCTGCCTCTTTAGATACCATGACTACTTGTGCTCATCGTGTGGTAATTGTCTTCAGACTTCCACAAAAATGGCAAAGCATGAGACGTTTCATCAGATAAGTCTGTAAGGTAGGAGACCAATTTTTAAATTTCAGTCAATGCTTGATGCAGGGCAGTGCTTCTTTGTTGGGATATGCTCAAATCCTGACTTTTAGCTTTTGCCTAAAGTGTCCCTACTGGTTTTGAGTTTTTCTTGAGCAGGTTTAAAAACATGTCACAAAAGAAAAGGACAGCGAAAGAAGTAAAGAG